CATTTTTCAGTTGATTCAGGGCCAGAATCAAATTTTTTTTTTTTTTTTGCAAATCAGAAAAAAACGAAGAGGCGAATCCGAGAACCAACAAATTAAATTGGTGTGGCCTTACCACTATTTTCCTGTTGCATCATCATCATCATCATCTTCGATGTACGCTGGAGAGTTTATCACCTGTGGTGTGTCTATAGAAATATGAGTGATCTGTACAACTTTGCATGGTTTAGATAATGGTAGCATAAGCTTTTTTGTCCTGTACGTACACGTATGTTGCATCATTGTATGATTGCCACCATTTTCCTGTTGCATTATTGGATAATTTATTACCATCATCATCATCATCTTCGATGTATGTGGGAGAGTTGATCACCTGTGGTGTGTCTATAGAAACATGGGTGATCTGTAAAATGTTAAATGAAACAACTTTGCATAGATCAAGTTAAACTTTAACTGATACTGTAGTATCATAAACAGTTTTGTCGTATTTTGCCATTGAAATTAGCCTGCCGATTGATTGACTTGTTGGTGTGTGTGTTTGCCAGCCTTACCTTCCTCCAGGCTATCTGATGATGTTCCCTCCTCCTCAGCGGTGTGTGCTGTGGGAGGCCCCACCCCTCCACTGTTCACAGTCAGCCATATGGTGATGAACTAAACTCTCAACCATGTATGCTAGCTACAGTACTCTGTGTTTAACAGCCTTACCTTCCTCCAGACTATCCGATGTTCCCTCCTCCTCAGCGGTGTGTGCTGTGGGTGGCCCCACCCCTCCACTGTTCACAGTCAGCCAGGAGGCTCTCAACCATGGTCGGCTATGTACATGTATGCTAGCTACAGTACTGGTGTGTGTGTTTTCCAGCCTTACCTTCCTCCAGACTATCCGATGTCCCTCCTCCTCAGCTGTGTGTGCTGTGGGAGGCCCCACCCCTCCACTGTTCACAGTCAGCCATATGGTGATGAACTAAACTCTCAACCATGGTCAGGTATGTACCTGTATGCTAGCTACAGTACTTAACTCCCAACCATGATCTGGAGCAGGATGGTGTGTGTGTGCCAGCCTTACCTTCCTCCAGACTATCTGATGTTCCCTCCTCCTCAGCTGTGTGTGCTGTGGGAGGCCCCACCCCTCCACTGTTCACAGTCAGCCGGGGCTGTACGGAGGAGGACTGGGAGGACTGGCTACTCACCGACTCCTGTGACATCACCCGGTACGACCTGGGCAATGAACAGCCAATCACGGTTAGCTGTGGTAAGGATGACTGACATCTAAGCAGATGTTGAAAGAGGTAAATATATATAAAACTAGAAACTTAAGGTAACATTTGCAAAGCAAATGCATAATGTTCACCACATATGGTCTGCTCTGTTAGTTCTTACTCAAACACATTCATATATATGGTCAGACAGGAGTCTAAATCCCTCCTACTATAAAATTGCAACATTATGTAACTCAACACAAATTACCATTGTGAAAGACAGTCTGGTTCAGATCATTGACCAGGTCAAACTCAGAGATCAGTGTTTGGAACAAAAGAAGAAGAAACAGCAATCTGTCAACCTGGAGAAAAATTTCTTCCATCCTTCCCCATTCCTTTCTCAAGTCTACATGTAACCAGCTACAGACAAGCACCTTTGCTGTGAGTGTGGAGTGTGCATGTGGTCCCCTGAGACGGGCATCACTCCGCTGAGTTCCGAGGGCTCCTGCTTCACGTACAGCCCCCCTCCCCACTTCAGCGTGTCCGGCGAGGACACAGCCTTCCACTGAAGCATGGTACTGGCGGACAGCCTTCTCTGTCCGGGGTTGGGAGATGGGGGTGACTGGGTGTGGTGTGGCATTGCTCCTGCGTGGGGCTGTACAGAAGGCTCCTGTCTCTCACCAGGACTCTCCTGTATCATAGTCTGTCTGTTGGCTGCGCTGGAAGCTTGCTGAACCTGACTTGTGGCGTGGTCTTCAGCTGACAGCATCACTGGGTGGGTGAAGCTCGCGTCGCTTCCAGCCAAACTGCCGGCAGCGTTTAGAGACGAGGGTCTGAAGGGGCTTTTCTGTATGGTGGATGCGGGATGGTGGTGGATGGTTACGGTTTGCTCCCTCTCGTGGGCGTCGGGAATTTTCGCGTCGCTCTGGGCTGCAGCTGGCTGGTTTGCCACGGCATCTCCGTAACTGTGCCCATGATGCTGTGTAATACCTGGAGAACAAAGTAAAAAATGATATCAGCACATGTCAATGTTCATAAGTTATCAAACCCTGATCCTTGATTAGGTTACTAATACTCCTAATATGCTTAGCCCAGTGGTTTCAAGTAGTTGTAGTAACACTAACCCTGCCTCAAGAGATTACCAGTAACAGTTCAAATCCCAGCTATTGCAGCTATTGGGACAATAAGCTATAGTGACAATACTGTAAATTCATTTATTTTTGCAGGGATCTAATTTCGCAGTAGGAGTAGGAAGGTGGTTTTGGGGTGTGTCATTAATTTTCAGTGGAAAGACACAGCAAAAATGCAGAAATAAAACCACTGCGAATATTTCAAGATTTACAGTATTTGTCAAAGATAAGTGTCAGAACAATTTAGTGTTTAGTAGTTTGAGTAGTCACATACTACATTGTTTTCCATTTTCCATCCTTTACTCTCATGTTACATGTACTTGCAATTAGCCTACAGGCAAAAACTTGCAATAAACTTTCAACAATCAATCAATCAATCAACTTTATTGCTCAACAACCGTACCTGGTACAATGTATGGCAAAGAAACAACAATGGTACATACACAAACTAATACTTAAGTATGATTCTAACAAGCTAATCTATTGTGTTTTCTTAGGAAGAGTATTATTACAATGACCTTGACTGAGGATGTTGACGTATTTCGCAGATGTACAGTTGAAGTGGTGCCGCAGGACCTGCACCATCAGGTCATAGTCGATGCAGAAGCTGCAGTCACCGCAGCGGTACTCCTTCTTTACATGCTGCAGGATGGAGAACGCCTGCAGCTCCTAAAACAAATAAATAAACAAACAAACAAACATTTTTTTATTAGCATGAAAGCTCATCTGTGTTGGTACATTCCATGCTGCAGGATGGAGAACGCCTGCAGCTCCTAAAAAATAAATAAACAAACAAACAAACATTTTTTATTAGCATCAAAGCTTATCTGTGTTGGTACATTCACATGCTGCAGGATGGAGAATGCCTGCAGCTCCTAAAACAAACAAACAAACAAACAAATATTCTCTTATTAGCATCAAAGCTCATCTGTGTTGGTACAATCCATGCTGCAGGATGGAGAACGCCTGCAGCTCCTAAAACAAATAAATAAACAAACAAACAAACATTTTTTATTAGCATCAGAGCTCATCTGTGTTGGTACATTCCATGCTGCAGGATGGAGAATGCCTGCAGCTCCTAAAACAGATAAACAAATAAAAAAAATTCTTTGATTAGTATCAAAGTTCATGAATCTGTGTTGGTACATTCCATGATGAAATTAATAGTTTTGTTCAACACAATCAAACGTAGCTCACCTCAAATTTTAGTCGCACATACGTCAATCTTCAATTATTCTGAAGTCTGATGAGCATGTGGCCTTAGGAAGCACTTTGGCAGAACGTACTGTGCCTGCACAAAACCTTGTTTTTTTTTCGTTTTTTGGTTGGAACTTGAATGTTAACTCTAAGTGCTCACAGAAACTCTAAGTATTTATACAAACTCTAGTATAAGTTCCCATAGAAACTCTAAGTACTCATAGAAACTCTAAGTACCCATAGAAACTCTAAGTACTCATGGAAACTCTAAATACGCATACAAACTTTAAGTTCCCATACAAACTCTATATCTAAGTGTGTAACAGTGAGGGTTTCTAGGCGCTACCAACTGATCTGGCCGGGGGTCTAGACCTTTTCGGCCAAGTGGTTAGAGTGTCAGATTTTGAAGCCTCCTGTTTCTTAAAAGTGCTCACAGAAACTCTAAGTACTCATAGAAACTCTAAGTACTCATAGAAACTCTACTAGTAAGTACTCATAGAAACTCTAAGTACCCATAGAAATTCTAATCTAAGTACACATAGAAACTCTAAGTATACCCATAGAAACTCTAAGCACCCATAGAAACTCGAAGTACACTGTTACACACAAGAAAAAAATAATAATTGTACCTATGGTCTTTCGTACATTCCATCTCATCATATTTTGTTTCATATCTTAATTCCATCTATTTTTATTTCATTACAAATTCCAAATTGTAATTTCCTTAATTTCATTTCGAAAAGGTTCAATCATTTCATCCACCCATCCATTTACATGTAGGTAAGATTGGTGTCCACTGTGGTTGACAGGTTGTATGATAACTCAAATGTTATGGATAATAATAATTGTGATGGCAGTAATAACCCTGTAAAAATACAACTTGCCAAATCTTTACGACTATCACGGAAGTGTTTGAGAAAGGTCAATATAAAAAATGTACAGGAATTATGACATTGATGCATTTTTATTTCTTTCTATGTTTTTTCTTCCTTTGCCCTCATGTTGTGTAGAGATATCCAAAGGGTTAAAGATATAAAATATCATAATATATTCTTCAAGTTCATCATAGCAATACAAAATGTATGTCTAATGTATTAGTATTACAGTAATAATGCACGATCTGTAATAAATCTATCGCATGGTTTCTCTTTATTTTTTCATACGCCAAAATCAAGTGCGCATACATGGCTACCATTCACATTCAAATAGGCTAATGATAAATCACAAATGCCCACAGTACTAGAAGGGGGAGGGGCACAATTTCAAAGCAACGTGCTATGAAAATGATATACCAACATGGACGGTTAAAGGTATTTTACACATCCAAACCATAATAAACATAGCCTTACGCCCCCTGCATATTGAATCACTCACCATTGTGTATATCGCAAAACGCGTTTTTGCACTTGATCTCTGGAAAGCGGCTCGCTTGAAAAGATCTTGACCGACGCGACGTCGACCGACCAGTGCTCGCCGCTACCTTCGGGGCTTCAGTTCAATTCTCCGGCTAAATGTCTTCCCCCTCGCGGTTTCTTGACCACCTCGGCGTTTCAGGAAGATCTAAGCCCTCAAATTCAAGCTTGTGGTGCAGAAATTAGACTTGCTGAGATCGTGAATGTCATGCAAATCTGATCAACACAAATCATAAACACACTCCATTGATTGGAATGTACCATTGAAGCTGGCAGGGGTTTTCTTTATTTTAGCATCTTCACAATCGAGCTATGTGTCAATATGATAAAAAGAGTACAAATATACAAATACAAACTGTGCTCTTGATATCTTATACGATGTATTGACAATCTGAACAAAATAGTAAACGTATTATTTCTATCTAACCCCCTATACTTCAAATGAACCTTTCCGTTACCTTTATTCTCAGCTCGCATCCAACGAAATAAAGATAAAATACCTAAATAGCAACTTCGACATGATCGAACGAAAACTATCAAAATTCATACTTAATACTGTTTCAAAAGTTTGTTAAGGTTGCATAGATTTGATAAGTACATCATGGCATGTAACGTTATACAATAAACAGTTTTTGTGCGTTTTGATGCCGTGCTTATCTGGTCTCTCCTCTTCATGTTTTTTACAAGAATTCCGCTAGATGTCTCTAGTTCAACACAGATCATGTAATCACAATGTTACTAGAACATGTAGTATAAATGCGGTATATACTACGATGGCTTAGCCGTTTACTAAACATGCTAAATGTACAAGCACAGATGTGCTTTCCTGTACTGTTTCTAAGTCGGTTTACTCTCCAAGCAGAGGTATCGGTTGGAGGGAATTATGTCTTTCTTCATATTGATACCGAGTTTACTATAGCATCGTTAGCAGCACCTTTACATACATCACAATTCAAAATTGTGCATAGTTTAAGGTGTTATATTATCTAGCCCTTCGGCGTAACACACCAGCTTCGCAGGCACGCGGCGTGGCGGCAGCTGGCTACATTACACCGTCGGCGAACGACTTGTTACACCTAACCCTTGAACATTGTTTGAACTAAAGCTAATGACAATGCCCCTACTGAACTTGGTGACAGCAAATGAAAGCTCCTTGGTGACAGCGAGTTCCACTCTGCGATAGTTCTGGGACAGGAGTTCTCAATCATTGGTTGGTAACTCTGGTACTTGAAGGCATGACTATTTCTTGTTCTTTTCTGAGCTGGTATTAGGGATCATTAGGTACTTAGTAGTTGGTACGACCAGTTTGTTAGTCATTCTGTACTTCATGATCCTTCATGCATAGTCTGGACAATTTTCGTCTGTCTTCCAGAGACACCCACTGTAGGTGAAACGCGCTAGTCACACCCTTAGTCTGGGAATGGCTCGGACTTGGAACGGCGCCGGCATGAGCGCCACCCCCAGGACCGCGTCCTCCACTGAGGGGAGGGGAGCCCCGTCCGGCACGTAGAGGCTCAGGGTGAAGTTTTGCAGCAGCGCGGCGAAGAACACAACAAGCTCCAGCCTGGCTAGCTGTTCGCCCAGGCACACACGCCGACCTGAGGAGACATTACAATTGGTAACTTTCAGGTAAGGCTGATCGTTTTGATAAAATGTATCAAATAGTTACTCTCCAAGCAGAGATTTGGGTTTGGGGTTATTTTTAGCGTGTTTTTAGGCTTTTCAAGTTATCGGGGTTTCTCTTTTGCACTGAATTTTTTTTTTTTGTGGGAAAAAAATTCAGTGCAAAAGAGAAACCCCGATAAAAAAACTAAAAACACGCTAAAAAAAACCAAACCCAAACCTCTGCTTGGAGAGTATAAAATAGTAATAAGATGTACTTTTCAATGAAAGAAAATGTAGTGAATAAATGGATGGATCAAGGATAATGTCCTTGGATGAGTGAATGAATCAGTGGGTGGGTAAATACGTGACCTGAAGAGACGAGGAAACTTTCGGGTAACTGGTAACTTTCAGGAAAGACTAGTAGTTGTACTGATCTTTTTAATAGTTCCTAGCAAAACGTTAAGTAAGGATGAACTTTTCAATGAAAGAAAAATGGACTCGGTCGTGCTTTTACAGATTAATTGAATGAATGAATTGGTGGTAGGGTGAGTGGTAACGTTGGTTGGGTGTATAAATAGCTGCATAAACGAGTGAAACGAACAAAACTGTACCCCAAACTACACAGCACACATGAAAAACCAAGGCCGGACTCAGTGCAAGCCCCACAAGAAGTCACCAGAGGCGCGAAGATAGTCTGCTAGACTGCCAAAAAACAAACAAACAAAAAAGAAATGAATTTTACATAAATGAAATGGTGACTAAAAGAACGAATTCGAGGGAAAGAATGAATGAATGAATAGTAGAATGGAGGTTAGAAATCCAGGTAGTAATGCAATACTAAAGTAAGAGTTACTCAAGCAGCTGTATGTGTTTTTGACATCTATCCTGTTACTTGTGTGGGAAAAGGGGATGAATTTGATCTTCGTACCGATACTAGTAGTCAACTATTCCTTCTTTATCTTATTACATAGTTGTTCCATTGAGGAAGTACTACAAACTTTTTAGTTGGATCGCTATGCTATACCATATGTAATTACCTTGATTATTCTCATTTATCCTTACATTGCGAATGAATGAATGAATTTTTATTGAATGAATGATTGATTGAATGAATGAATGAGTGAATAAATGATTGAATGAATGAATGAATGAATGAATTTTTATTTTATTTATGAATTTTTATTCCCTTGATTTCACCCATGTACATTGGTTTACGTACCGATGCCGAAAGGCCTCCATGCCGGCGGAGTTGTGACTCTTCCCTGCCCGTCCAGGAAGCGGCTGATGTCGAACCTGTCCGGTTCTGCCCACTGCTGCGGATCTCTGTGGACCGACCAACAGTTCATCAGCGCCCAGGTGCCTTCTGGGAGGCGGTAACCAAGCAACGTGACGTCACGCGTGGTGGCGCGAAAGTTGAGCGGGGAGGGCGTGGCCAGGCGGAGAACCTCCATCACCTGTTTAAAGTAAATTTCCACACTTTAGATACTTGACAAGTAAAGAAAAAATCATATTCCTGTTAGCATTTGATAAAGTAAATTCAACTTCTTATACACCCTCATACATTTATACAATTACTAAGAGGCGAGAGGAAGTTGAAAAGACTACATTAGACTTGTAACAGTTACATGTGTGTGTGTGTGTGTGTGTGTGTGTGTGTCTGTGTCTGTATATGGTTGTAATCTTGTGACGTGTGCTTAGCCCAGTGGGGCAAAAATGTACAATGAAGGTCTTCCTTCCTTCCTCCCTTCCTCCCT